CCTGGCTGACTGCTCGTAGCTCCGAACCTACCGCTTCTGAGATATTTATACCAGCATGTTCTCTACTCGGCGCAGCTTCACGACGACAAGCATGATGTGGAAGGATACGTGCTGCTAGAAGAGCTCGATGATCATGTTGTTGATAAATGAGCATCAAGCAAGCGTATACGTTGCACGCAAATGACATCAGGCGAGGGCCAGACGGATAGGGCCACCAAATTGCAGAACTGGGGCGAAGAAGGCATGCGACAAGTGAATGATAGGAAGCTCGCGCTTAGAGAGAAGAGTGCCCCCCAAGATATCGAGTCACGACAAGTAGTCGAGGCCCAAGGTCAGCCTTGCCGACGATTGTGCGGGACTCGGGTGTATTTGACTGGTCTCCTATACCGGGCGCGGCGCTAGAGGATTTGCCTCGTCACTCGTCCAAACTATGCCAGGCTCTCCATTCCTCACTGTGCAGCGTTGCTATGAGTTGAAGTCGGCGCTATCATACATGAGTTATCGCTAGGGCAGCTCCGGATCCTGACTTTCGATGTCCTTCAGGGGCCCGTAATTATGAGGCGGATGCTGTTGGGATTCAGGCTCTGGGGGGCGCGTTGGGTGCTTCACAGGTTATATAGTAATAAAACTCCCGAACCTGAGCCCCGAAATCTGCGGACCTCTAGCGCGTGAATGGCTCTTACGCGTACGGTGTGTTTGTGAACGTTGTGCCTGCTCGCAGCTGTCTCTTGACGAGGCCTTCCGGGACCACACCGCAAATTGGTCTTGACATCCAAAGTAGTCTTCCTCGAAAGCCACCGCATTTACCGTGCTTGCGCCTCTGGCCACTACTACCCAAGGCACTAGGGACGTGCCGTCGTTCGTCCTGACCCATAAACAACGGAACGTTTATGAAAATAGTGACGTAATGGGCGAGTGGCTGGCCGAGGGACAAACCAAACGAAGCGTGGCTTACTCATTGCAGAATCTCGTCTATAAAAACGAAGGCATCTCCCGTACTTCATATCATTCATTATTCTCTTGGCATAGCTCCTCCTTAAACCCTTCCTGTTCAACGACTAACGTATACGCCATGAGCTCTTAGGCAACGTTGAACGCTCCTCATCAAACAACTGCTATAACGGAGAAGCATGTCACGCGCCCCCATGTCGGATCCATCGAGGTTACTTCCGTGCAGTCTTTAGGCAACCCCAACAATGCCATCGTGCGGTCGGACGAGCGGTCTCGCTCGACAAGCAGGCAGGGCAAAAGTCGGCCAGTGCAGCAGTCGGCAGGCTATCTCTCAGCGCCATAGCGACGCTTGCTACGTCCGAGCGTGATCTGCTCGATAGTGGCAAGACTGGAGCCATACCTAGTAATCCATCTCTCCACCCTGACCTGCAGCCTCCTTTCGAACCAAACCAAGCATGTAAGTGACGTCGCATGAAGCATAGGAGGGGAAGAGTCCGCACTGACAATCTTCCTACCAGCGTTACCATATTTGAAGCCCGACACTACCCGATCCCGTCTCAAAAGACGCACCAAAGAATCATTGGTTAAGCCAAAGCCGAAGCGACTAAATGCCATGAAGGGTGTCAAGCTTAGCCAATCCCGTATTTTCGACGTGGAAGAGTACAAAGACTTCACTCTGCACCCAGACGGATCCATGACTTGTGTAGTGACCTGGACTCCTCAAACAGTGCAGCTTCGTGATATGCGTGGTTCGGAAGCCATGGCTATTTGCGAACGGGAAATCACGTCGAAGTTTAGTGCTAATAAGTGGGTGAAGCAGAAAGCTGCTTATTTTGACAGGACTACAAAACGCAAGACTTAAACGATCCAGTTGGTTGAGGTGGATGGTTTTCAAGGGTATACTTGTTTCGGATTTAATGTACATATAAGCTCGTCTATTTGCACACACTCTTCCTCTATCTTATATTGTCGCAAGACTTTCCGACTCGTCGGTTACTTATCTGCACGCTCTCTACGCAAGCTTCATTCTCGCCTGTCTTTATCATGTCTCTGCAGCCTGCGAGCGTATCCCTGCGATTTAGTATTAGCCGAGAATCGTCTCGGTTCTACCAATAGCTTGCCGGCCTGCCATGTATCTGCATGGGACTCGTGTCCGACGTACCCACTTAGAAGCTAGTAGGACCACCGGGAGCCGGGGCAGTACCCGTTATCCGTAGCGTCAATCTAGAGTTGATCCCAAACAACCAGCTGCGCGGGTAGTACAACACGCAGTGGCCGTTCACCAGCGTTGCCTCGTCAAGTTATAATAATTCCATGGCAGGGTGTCGCTGCATGAACCGTACTAACGCGAGGACTGCCACACGCAAGTTGGCGAGAGATACCGAGCGAAGCTCAGGACAGTGCACGTGATCGAGAGGGATAACGGTTAGTGGATCGTGGCGGCAGAAGTTGATTTGGAGGTTTTGTAAAGCGGGAAACAAAGACAAGAAGGAATTGAATATTGCAGTAGTGGTGTTTGCTATGTTCAACGATTTGATGTCGAGTTTGGTCACGGAACATAACGCCGTATATAGAGGGCCGATCGACTCAAGGTTCAGTTTGCCTTTAATCTTCAAATCCTGGACGCGGCCATAGTTGGGAAGTACTATCAGAAAATCACCAACGAGTCGATCGACCGAGTCTCTCCGGCACGGTGATATCCAGATCTGTTGACATAGCCGGGTGACTTGGGCGTTTTTCTTTGGTTTCCACCCATGGGAACAGATATGGGAGATTGTGATCCGCTGGAGCTGTGGGAGAGAACTTAGAATCTGGTTCAATCGACGGATGTCATCGTCGCGACCCCGAGACTCTTCTTCCGCTACAAAGTGGCCGTAGCGGCGGAAGGCCTGCAAAGCCTTTTCCTTCTTCGACAGGGATTGCAGCACAACAGGGTGCGCTTCGTACACCTGGAGCGGGTGAAGCTCCCATTCTTTGTAGTTGCACTTCGGCCACTCCCCATGATACACCGTGAGAGCTCGTGTGGGCGGACTTGTCTGTTTAATGTGGTGCGCCAGGCCTATCAGCGCCGAACGGGTATCGAGCACGCAGAGGTGACGCGAAGCCTCGGACAAGCAGACATGCGTGAAGCGACTAGCAGTCAGTGCTAAATTGAGAAGGCTTCGCGAGTCTAGATACGAGACGAACTCGCTAATGATTTCATAGGGCATCCCTTCCATGGCGAGGGCGGGTGAACGCAGGCTGGCCGCAATTCAGCGAAGGCGGAGACGCATAGTGGTGTAAATATGGCCGTTGTACCTCTCCTGGTTAGGCTCACCCTGGACAGCCACAATTCCGATAAAAGCAATATGTGATTTCGGGTTTCTCTGAACTATAGTATGAACTTATCAGAATTTATTATCGGCTATGGAGGTAGTCATAGTGGACATATGAGGTCGCGGTGTGCCGATGAGATGCGCTATTCAGCGCGTGTCGGTGGGCGCACGCATAGCGGCACCCTGGGCCAAATCCGACATAAGGACTCCCCCGCCGAGCGAACACTATAGCCGCGCGGTTGCGCAGCCTGGCACGACATGGCCACAGCACTGTAGAGACTCAAGCCGTGCAGAACGTTAGAATAAATTAGACTATTGAGCATTGATTCATGGCTTTCTTCTTTTCATTGCTCCTATTCCAATCAACGCATGGCCGATGCTGGACGGGCCCCAAAGCCGAAAAGCAGTTTCCAGGCAGGAATATTGCGTTGCTTCCATTTGATCGTGGACTCACTCTAAACTGTATTGCGAGGTTCGTTTCCAATCTCTGTGGCAGGCGCTTGCATTAAGTAATCTAACTGCTAACGTGTCATACGAGCCGCATCCGAAGAGTAATCACTTCTCGCCCTGCTCACCACGTATAGCAGACGAGGTGCGCTGATAAGCGGCTAATAGCTTAAAAGATCCATTCGGGATGTGGATGATCTAGAGCCCATCGACCGTCGCACCCAGGCTTCATACTCGAGAAAGACCTCTTCCACAACGCTGATGGCCTCCGCTATCTCCCTGGTTTGCTCCCGAAGCACCTGCCGTTGGTAACCTCCCTGTTCGCGCAGGACTTCCAGGCGACCGTGATCGCTGCGCTGCTTATTACGTAATACGTGGATCTCTTGCTTTAAATTGTTGTTCTCGTTGCGAAGACGCTCGATCTTTGCATCCCTCGTCGCTTCAGAACAGCCCCGAAGCTTCTGAGAGGAGCGCGATGGAGGCAACGCCAACGGTCGTGGCCATAATTGGGTTTCTTCCCCATCTTCTGATGACAGGGGCGAGACGGACCTCTCCACGATGACCAGGTCAACGCGCATTGTCAGGTTAGGAAGGTGAGTCGGCAGGGGCCTCAGCACGAAAGGAAGAACATGTCTCCTTCATTTGTGCCTGGACCGGAAAGCCGGTCTCGCAAAGCTCTGGCCACGCCGGTTCGCCGCAATATATCCTGCTCCGTGTGTGAGGAAGCCATAGTCCTCAAAATGGCACTCATGTCCCTGTGACGTGAATTGGCTTGTCACTTGTGTAAATGCAGGCGAACTTAGGACATTCCCGATCGCATAGGCTCGTTCTGAATATCCGAAGGAGAACGAACATGGACTTGAGGCGGACCTAAACGAGGAAACAGGTTTTAGAGACAAAATTGTCAGAATGGCCATAGTCCGGCGCCGACCTATATAAACAAGCCTAGCTCTGCCGTCCATCCAAGTGCCTGCGCTATCGTGCACCTGGTCCAGCCTCTCAACATGAATTAGCCCGACCTGCTCGTTTAGTTTCAAAGCCAGAAAGTCACCAAGGACATCGTTGCCCTGCGTAACCGCATTTTCTTCTACCGTGACACACCGTGATGCGCCGACCCTGCTCGCCCGGGCGACCTGAATCCTCCCTCGCTGGAAGCCTTCATCACCCATCTCGTGAAATGCTTTCGGCTTACCCCTCTGGAACTCATGGCATCGCTGATCTATCTTCGCCTCTTGATTGGGAAACTATTTGCAAAACAGATACAAAGACGTGGCCGGAGGTGCACAAATCATGGCTTTGTCTTAGGTTGTCTAATAAATGCTAACAAGTGCCTATTAGATCGCTCGTTCTCTAACAGAAATTGGGCTGCTCACAGTCGAATTGTTAAAAGAAAGCAGTAGATATTCGGGCTTTCAAAGTAAGATGTAAACGGGATAGAAAGAGATCTACTACGCCTTCTAGATTAGGAGGTCCACATTGAGCCAGCGCGGCTAGAGAAGAAGTCCTATCTTTCTTCGCGATAAGCAGCCTTTTTCGGAAGAAGTAGGCGTTCACATATAAGAAAATCCGAAGGGCTGGCCTCTAGCAGACGTGATTGTGAACAAGGAGTAGATAGAACTTTATATAACTTGGCTTCGGAAAGCGCGTGGACATGCTCAGTGACGATCTATGACCCCCCAAACTGTAGACTAACAACACATTCAAGAATAGACATCTTACATCTCTCTAGAAAGAGAAATGTATGCATAGGAACAAGAAGACGTCACTTCTGCAAGACCTGCCAAGCTTGTGGGATCGACGAGTGGAATAAGGGTAACCACTTGCCCACTCAGAGCTCCGATCTAAGGTGGTGCCCAGGGTAGGCATGCCCAGGCGCTCCAGTGATCCAAGGGTCTCACGGATTGCCGATGTTTCATTAGAAACAAGAATAACACAGATATGCAGCGAGCATCGGCAGCATGGTGTTCAGACGCCTAGACGTCAGATGCCCAGACATCAGACGCCCAGACATCAGACGCCTAGACATCAGACGCCCAGACACCTTATTCGTGATACTAAAAGAGGCAAGTACTTGCGTGGCTTACAGAAACAATGTACGAAATTCAGCACTACTCGCAATACGGCACGTTTCTTATGGCACGCGAGATGCATTGCCCAGCGACACCCCTCCGAGCTTATCCGGCCGACGAAGTCCTCCCGTTGCTCTTCCTCTCGAGCATGTCCCACACTTCGGTCGAAACCTCGACTGGCTTCATCTTCTTCGGAACACCCTGTCCAGCTATTCGCCTCTTCCCAATCACGATTTAATCTCCCTTCTTATTGCCCAAGATCTCGTTCAGAGCTAAGCGAGAAGCAAGCTGCAGGTGTTGCGTACCCTTAACCCAGAAACAACACAACGGACACCGACTCAGCTTCATTGGATGCCACTAGAACGACGTTCATTTTGTCCAGCGTCAGTTAAGGAAAGTCAGTCTTCGTGCCGGACTTCATCGCTTGTCGGCCGAGTTGCTGGAAGCTTGCCTTGTGTCTAGCATAGCGACTGCCCTGAACGAGAAAGGCTCTCATGGCTTCCGGATATTCGTCGTTTTTCCCTAGTGCTACAACCAAAAGCTGTCCCTGGTTCACTTCGGTTCGGATCTCCCCTTTTAGTGGTTTGCTTTTCCCACTAGTCTTCTAGTCCGGATCGCTCATAAGCTCGATGAAAGTACTCCCAGCCCTGTCTTGATTCTTGGGTGGATGTAGGGGCATGGCGAGGAGTCTTTGCGTATTGGTACTCTAGAATAGATCGGATATCTTAGCGGGTATGGTGGATCGACGATCTTCAGAGTCTAGCGGAGTTGCCAAGCGCCCTTTCTTCGATCTCCATGTGTTTGAACGGGCAGGAGATCCGTACTGCTCTTCGTCACTCTCTTCATCTTCTTCACTGCTCTCCTCGTCGCTCGTTCCATTGTGCTTTGGGGACTTGCTTCTCCTCTGGCTGCCTTTTGACCTCGTCTCCTTACCACTTCGAAGGACATAACTATCAGTGTTTATGACCTGCTTTAAATTGAGCGTATTGGTTAACCACGACAGGTCGACAGCGGGAATGCCCTTGTCACGCGCACGCACGATGTCTTTATGGAGGCTATCGAACTGGTCTTGTGACGCACAGAGGTGGGTGGTCTTCTTCGTGATGGCCGTTTGGTATTGTCCGCCCAAGGCGCGGATATCGCTCTTGATGCGCTCCTCTTTTTGGCCTTTGGGAGTGGCAATGACACAAATATAAGCATTTCGCAGGATTTGGACCTTTTTCTCCTTCTCGTGCCGCTCGTCTGCTCTCTGATCGTCGCCGGACTGGTCGCCGGACTGGTCGCCGGACTAGTCGCCGGACTAGTCGCCGGACTGACTGCCGGACTCTTCCTGGTCGCTCTCGTCCTGCTGACCAAGAAGGTGAGGTGCGGTGTCCGTCTTCGACTGGGAATCAAAGCACTCCTCTAGCCATTTCATGTCGACGATCACACAGTTGTGCTTTCTGGCCTTCTCGACAAGGTTGGAAGGCTAATAGTACGACTCCTGGGTAGCTATGAGGTGGGTGAGCTTCTTAGAGAAGGATTTCTTGTAGCTGCCTCCAAGCGTCTTGATGTCCTTTTCAACTTGCTGATGAGTTCGATTGAACTTGCCGCAGACCGCGACAACGCAATCCGAAAGTGGCTTAGACGCATCGGCGTCCGGCTGAAGATTGTCTGCAGAGGCCATATCGATTATCTATGGTGATTGCAATCTGAGGGGACGATTTATGTCTGAAGACGTTCGTGTGGAAGGGAAAATATGGATAGAGCTGACCGGACAGAGCTAGTTGGATTTATATGCCATGTGTGTCGCCTAGCCGCGGGCTTAGAAAAAGAAATCGAATTGCGGAAAGCGACAGGCTGGTGAAAGTCGAAAGTCACAACCAACATCTAGGCGGTCTATTCTCGGATACGCAAGACGGATATCAGAGGCAG